CTAGAAACACAGCAGATGAAAATATATCCAAAATAAATAAGTATTTCTTGTAGAAAGGACTTGTGAGGCTTAATCTGAAGTACTCTATACATTTCTGGTCAACATTGCTTAAGAATGTTGGAATTTGACTGGAATGAGAGCGAAGGGCACTGGTGGCTGCCTAACAAGAGGAGGCAACTGTTCTTGGCTTGCGTTATGTCATGAAAGTTGAGAAAGGATCTCTATAAATACATCACAGATGAAATACTACAGAGTATGAAGAGCTTCCTAAGTTAAAGGTAACGTTGGCCAAAAAGAAATGGATACAAACTGGCAACGAATAAATTTAGTCTTGACTCACAGCCTTGGCTTTCAGATATGACATAACTGCAAATAATTTTATGAAAGGATTCTGGTAGCAGAATACTAGCAGCAGCATGGTGAAATCAGAACGGCCTATGAATGTGAGGACCATTGTGGTTTAATGATAACACAGGACAATAGCTTTACAGGGTAAAGACTTTGATCTTAATGTGCAATCAAATCTCATCCCACTTGTCTGTTCCATTTATGTCTGTTTCCTGGGGGGTTTTGATCTGTCATTATCTCCCCCTGCAAATACCGCTCTCTTCTGGAAATGCTGCTACACTTATTTCTTCCAAATTGTTCAAGGAACTAGAGTAAATAGTTTCAACAAAGAGCAACTCTCTCTTATTAAGTTTGCTGTTGTTTTATCAGACTTGCAAAAGGATCTATGCATAAAGATCTATCCACTTTTTCTAAAAAAGCTAGCAAGAATAAAAGAGATATATTGTGTTTCTCTTAGGTCAACAAACATGGGTCAGATGATGAGGAAAATTTGAAAATGTCTATGGATTTATTTGTCATACTTGTATTCTCACTCACTCTAAGCTAGAAAATTATTTGTTTCTCTGAAATACAGGACTGAGATTTTGGGTTCTATGAAAAAAAATGTCAAGAACTGTTAGCACATAAACCTGCTTACCTTGGAGTCTCAGTCAGAAATGAATGAGCCAACATTAACTCTTAATCACTTCATTTGATGGAGACTGAATGTGTGTCTCAGAAGCCTTGTTGTTCCATTCTAACGTAATGGACCCCAAACACTGTGGTTCAGCTAAGCGAGAAAAGAGTATCTTGTTTTAAAAAGATGTTATGTGCAACTGTAGTTGGTTCCTTAGAGGTGAACCAAGGTTCACCCAAGCTGAGTGGGAAGCCACAGTGAGAAGCAGATGCAGAGGCCCCGTCTCTTGCTTGTGGTGCCACCGCGTTCCCTGCACAGAAAGCAGAAGCCCCAGCCAGTGAAAAAGCAACGCTCCTGGAGAGATGGGACACAAACCAGAGGTGAGTAGGATCTCATTTTCAAAGATTACAACTAAAGTCATTTTCCAAAGGTAAAACCAGTGCTATTCCTTTAGATTAGGCACAAGTATCATTCCAAATCCATTTCTAGCAGGTTCTAACTGGGTTAAAACTATAATAAAATACATTTCAGGGAGTTTGGTGAACGAAGGCTATAAACAAATAACTTTTGATTATTATCTCAAAAGAATCAATAGCTGTCCAGGCTAGACAGCAAAAACATTTCTAAATAAACAAGATTATTATGAGTGCAGTAGATAATTAGGGTGGGAACCACTGAGCTACTTAACATAAAGATAGTAGTTAGAATAGTTAAGATCAGGCTGTAATAAAAAAAAAATAAAAAAACAACTAACAGGGTGAAATATATAATAAACAAAGTGTTTTGTTCAGTGTTCATAAATAAATGTGAATCTTCTGATCAGAACTTCTAATGGATACAACTTACTCCTTTCATATGTATCAAAACAATATACAGGATAACAAAATGAGTTTTCTTAAACTGTAATCTGATTCTTATATGTCATAAAATCTTTGATGTAATTTTTGGCAGTTTTTGCCTCATCACGCTATAGCCTTTGTAATAGAAGAGTTAACTTTGTTCATAAAATCTTATGTGTATGAGGGAATAAGGAACTTTTGTTATAATTCAACAAGATAAGTTTCATGGACATCCTGTTAATTAAGCAAGTGTCAGTAAAAATAATTGCAGACATCTTGCTAAACAAACAAGTATCAGTATTGGTAAAATTTACAGCTGATAAGAACTGCAG